AGAATCAAAAATTCAGAAAATAACAAGTGTTGTTGAGGATGTGGAGAAAGCGGAACTCTCATACACTGATAGTGGGAATGTAAAATGGTGTAGCTACTGTAGAAAAGAGTTTGGCAATTTTGCAAAAAGTTAGAATTACCGTATGACCCACCAATTCCACCCTAGGTATGTAATCAAGAAAACTGAAAACATGTTCATACAAAACATTGTACAAGAATGTTATATACAACATTATTCATAATAGTTAAAAAGTGGAAACAACCCAAATGTCCTTCAGCTGAGGAATGGATAAACAGAAGGTGATATACCCATACAAAAGAATATGATTCAGCCATAAAAAGGAATAAAGTACTGTTACATGTGACAACATGGATAAACCCTGAAAATGTTATGCTAAATGAAAGAAGTCAGTCACATATTGTATCATTCCATTTATATAATATGTCCAGAATAGGCAAATCCATAAAGACAGCAAATAAATTATTAGTTGCCAGGGACTGGGTGGGTAGGGAGGAGGAAATTGAGACTAACTGCTAATAGGTATGGATTTCTTTTTGGGGTGATGGAAATGTTCTAAAATCAGATAGTGGTGATGGCTGCACAATGTAATGAGTATATAATAAACCACTGGTGTATACTTTAAAATTATGAATTTTATATTACATGAATTATATCTCAAAAAAAATGCTAAAATTAAAAAAAGAGAACTAAACTGTCAAAAAGTATATGAGATAATTGGAGAATTTGAACAAAGATGTCCATTTGATGATTAAGGAATTAATTCTGAGAGATATAATACTTTTTTTAAAGAAAAATTTATTTATTTATTTATTTATTTTTGGCTGTGTTGGGTCTTCGTTTCCATGTGTGGGCTTTCTCTAGTTGCGGCGAGCGGGGGCCACTCTTCATCACGGTGTGCGGGCCTCTCACTGTCGCGGCCTGTCTTGTTGCGGAGCACAAACTCCAGATGCACAGGCTCAGTAGTTGTGGCTCACGGGCCTAGTTGCTCCACGGCATGTGGGATCTTCCCAGACCAGGGCTCGAACCCATGTCCCCTGCACTGGCAGGCAGATTCTCAACCACTGTGCCACCAGGGAAGCCCTGATAATACTATTATAGTTTTTTTGAAGTCTATCTTTTAGAAATAATTACTGAAGTATTTAGGATGATATGGATGATGTTTGAGATTTGCTTCAAATCATCTAGTATGGGGGATACTGAAGTATGCGTGGGAATATAAATGAAATAAGATTAGACTTGTACTGATAATTACTGAAGCTGGGTAATGGGCAGTGCATTCTCCATAATCAAAATTCTCCAAAATCAAAAGGTAAAAAAAAAGGAATCAATATTTGGTAACTGTAGTGAAATAAGGAATCTATAAAATAATCATCAAGGAATTTAAAAAAAATTAGGAGAAAGATTGACGGAGAATTTTTATTATGGGTGGATCAGGCTGGTAAAACCAAGACCATTTTGTGCCTCCTGAGGTGATGAGACAGGAACTACACAGACTACCTATGAGGCATTCTTATCAAAATATGAACCACAATCTAACCAAGCCTCTAGTTTTAACTATGAGTTTTATAGGAAATATGAAGATTAGAGAAATCACTTAAAGGACACCACAAGAAAACAATCAACCAAATCTAGAATGTGAAATATGGAAAAAATATTTCAGTTTTTTCCAAAAAATAAATTACAAGAAAAAGAGTGAGATTTTAAAAGATTTAAAAGGAGTTGGGGGGAAAAAAATCTCAAGGTTCATAAGAACCACTACAATGTGTAAACCTTGTTTGGATCCTGATTTTAATAAGCCAACTGTAAAAGGACATTTTGAAGCAACTATAGAAATGTGAATATAAACTGGGTGAAAGATATTATTGGGACTTCCCTCGTGGTGCAGTGGTAAAGACTCTGTGCTCCCAATGAGGGGGCCCGGGTTCGATCCTGGCCGGGGAACTAGATCCCACACGTATGTCGCAACTAAGAGTTTGCATGCCACAACTAAGGAGCCCATGCACTGCAACTAAGGAGCCCATGAGCCACAACTAAGATCTGGCACAACCAAATAAATAAATAATAATTTTAAAAAGATTTTATTAAGGAATTACTTCTTATTTTGTAAGGTATGATAATGGCACTATAGTTATGAAAGAAGTCATTATCTGTTAGAAATGCATACTGAAGAATATTCTGATGAAATAACATGTCTGGGATTTGCTAAATTCCAGGAAAAAAATACAGACACATACACACATATATACATTAATATATGTGTACATATATATATATAAATAGATGAAGCAAAATGTTAATAATTTTTGAAGCTGGGTGATGGTTACATGGTAGTTCACTGTATTATTGTCTCTACTTTTGTGTATGTTTGAAAGTTTCCATAATAAAAAGGTAAGAAAGGAAGGGAAGAAGAGGGAGGGAGGGGGAGAAAAAGGAGCAGATGAGCCAAATCAATAAGTAAGCCTACAGAATATGAGCTATAATATTTCCTAATGCCCTGAAGTCCCAAGTTCTTTCTAATTTCAGGAGTCAGTAAAAGCCTTATCTCAGAGAGATAAGGTTAGGCCATGGGAATAATCAGACTTAGAAGTATCCTACTAACGGTAAGGGAATAATTTTGACTGGGTATGTATGTCCAAATCAGCAAACCTCCCCCAAACCTGCACTGCATTCATTCTAGCAGCATGCCTATTGAGTTGGCCTTGGTAGGAAGTATGCTCCTTCCCTTCCCAATCTGCAGCATCTGCTTCTCCCATTCCTTCTCTGAAGTAGCCTGAAAGAGATTAGGTCAAGCTGGCTAGGTATATGACCAGGCAGCCAGCTGTCCCTATAAATTCATCTGGACTGCCACTGGCAACAGTTTGTAATAAACAATTCAACTTTGTTTCTGAAAATTCATCTAGAAACAGTGCTTGGAGGGCAATAACTTCAGGAACCCCAATATTGCAGGTAATGATAAATCAAAACCTTCATCACTCATTACCCCCCAACAATTTGAGAGGTTCAGCAAGTAGTGGTACTCATAGTATATACTCTATATATATTAAAGGAAGATAACAGGGAATGATCCATACCTCTGTTTTCCCTATTAGGGGTATCATAAGGAAAATTACTTTTGCAGACTTGCCCTAACATCATGGAGCATTTATCTCCATGAAGGTCTGTAGCCACATTGGAACACTGGGATTTGGTAGTTCTAATTATTGCTGGGAGAGAAAACACCAGTTGTTTAGAATGAACAGGCTCCACTTCAACCAACTGGCATATAAAAGCCATCTCCTTTCCTTGGACACCAGAGCCTTCTTCCTTCAGCATCATATGGGTAAGGCAAAATGACCACAAAGTTACTACTAGTTCCTCTGTAGCTTCACAGCAATTAGGTGCTCTTAGAGTTATAGGTAAATGTCTGATCTTCCTTCGCACAGACTAAGGCAGCCTCAGTGGGATCACTGGCATGTAGGCAGATTCTTGGGAACCAGGCTGCTTCAGGGCTTAGCTGTTACTGGAATGGATAGAAGCATAAATGTAGCTAAAGAGAGAAGCCTAGATTTAGCACCAGAGCCAAAGCTGTCAGATCTAAGAGTTGCAAACAAATTATGAGGCAAGATACAAAAGCTGAAAATATCAGAAATAATAATAAATATTAGAAATAGGTTAGAAAACAGAAATATTGAAGGCCCAGGCTAGGATGCTAGGAACCTGCATTTAGCAGTTGGTGGCCATGTGGTACCAAGCTAAGTCAACTGGTTTAAAGGTACAGAATTGGGCCAAACATAACAATGTATTTTTCTAATACAGGATATTAGCTGTGTCACTGGCTACCTTGACACATCCTAATCTGGAGAAAAAATGGATAGAAAGCTTGCCATGACGACAACTGTACTTTATGAAAAGGATGAATTCCTAAATGGCCATTCTCTTCCATTCAAATGATGTTACCACCTCCCAAAGAACAGTTTTGGGGCAGGAAAGAACAGTATTTCATTTCAAGCTGGACTACTCATCTACCAAAATACCATTCTGACCAAAGAAACAGATGCAAAATTATAGTCACAGCTGCATTCTGTACAGAACAAGTTGGATAATAGTGTTCTAAATTGCTAATTACACTGCTAATGATTTTTTTAGTGGCATTGCAGTATTCTGCCACCTTTGTTTAAATTTTTATAAAAAGCATCTAGGAATTTTTAAAAATGGTAAATTGTTAAATACCAGTGAGTCTTCTGAAGAGAAATTCCATATAAAACCCATTTCCTGAAATGGCATTCTCATATGGGATCTCACATAGGAGCCCATTTACTGACTAGCTATTTGTTTTAATTTACTTTCTCACCAATTTAATTGCATTTAAGATTACTAAGGCCATAAGTATCCCAGTATTAGTGTCTGTATCTAGATCCAATATTGGTAATGAAAAGATAATAAACTAGCATATGTCATGATATGCTGGTATTCGTAATGTGCTATGATGAGATTTACAAAAAGTAATAGCAACAGTACAATTTTATTCTTGTTGTGACAACCACAGTGAAATTTATTACAGTGTTAGTATTTAATTGTTTATTCATGCCAGCGTAGCTGAGGGGGTAATTACCTTTTTGATATAAAAATGTTTTTAATGCTTTTATTTCATTTTAGCAGATTAGAGAATGCAGATTAAAGCACTGCCATTGTTCCATCTTTATTTATCTGCATTTAAGTGGCAGAGCATTTTTTTTCTACAAATAGTGAATTAATTTCTACTAAATTATTTCATTAAGGCTTCAAATAATTTGCCCTTTAAATAAAAACCTCAAGCTGGCCAGGAATTTCCATATATTAGATTACAAATTTTATATGTAGAAAATGGTGTACCAATAACAATTATGTCACAGTGGGTTTTTTTTGATACATTTTACATTTAGTATAAGGGTAAATTGGCTGTTAAAAAATTAAAAACACAATCTTATTATGCTATTACAAACTCATAAGTAAATACTTACATTTGCTTTTAACAGATCATCCAATTTCAGTGATCTTTTAACACTGCAAACAAAATAGTTAGACATCTTAGATTTAACATGTTTTAAGTAGCCAAGAATTTAAGAGTAATCTATATAAACAAAGATTCTAAGCTACTTTCACCAACTAAAGTAGAATACCTATGAAGAAAGCAATTTTCACAATGATGAAACTGATTTTTTGATAGCATATATCAAGATGAAATCATAATTAAATATTTAGATGGATTTTTATATATGTAATTTTATATATATGCACCATTATACAATTCAAACACTAAAGTTATATTACAAAATAATCTTAGTAAAAAATTAATATATTTGTGTGTTTTAAAATACCACTAACAAAAATTATACATAAAAGGAAAATAATTTACATACCTTCAATGGAGATGTTGAAAGTATATTATTTGCAGAAATAATACACTAGCTATTAAAATAAAAGTATGAGCAAGGTGAAAAAGTTTTGCACCTTATTCTAGCTTTAAACATGATTCAGTGCTACCAGACTATGACTTAACTGAGGAACAGATGCTCTATGTCTTTATAAGTCCCCAATCCATAAGAAACTATTTTTTGTCTTCTTCACTAAACTGATTCAGGAACATGCCAGGCTCTCTCTGTGCAAAATCTGTTCTGCTAAACTGGATGCCCAGCTGTTGGTGACAATGCTTAGAAAGGAAAGCTCAATATTTATAATACTTTATTTCGTACAGCTGTCTTCTAAAGAGCAGTCATCAACATTTTATTGAACATAGACTAAATGCTCAAAGGAGAAAAAGGTCAATATAAATTAAAACTAGTTTTCCCAGTGACAAATGCAACGTTAAAAGTACTTTCTCGATCTCTGAGAAAAAGAAATTAAGTTATTTAAAATATTAGAGAATTTGAGCATAAAGCAAACAAATTTTATTATAAAGGTTGTACTACAGAAAACAAAACAAAATTTATAGATCCTAGAAAATGACTATTCATAAATAAGTGACTACTGACTTTCAAACAAGTGACAGAAGCAGGAATAGAAGAGATGGACAATTTATAAAAATTACTCAGCAATAAATATTAAATACAAAAATTTAATCTATCTAAAATAGTTCACTTAATTTTGCTATTATATCTACATTAGCCTATCACATAACATTATTTCTTAAAATTAACTAAATTGGTTTAAAGAATTACTCATATCTTTTAGAAGTCCACTTGAAATCAATTTAATGTGAATTCTCAATGAAGCAAGAAGAGAACAGAGGTTATGATCAAAAATGGCAGCTAATCAAAAAAAGTACTATATTTAGCTTTGGAATATATATTACCCTATTCAGGTGTGTGAGATGTTTTTTGTATTTATAAAACTTCAAAAGTAGAAATCAAAAACTAAAAGTACACAGTACAGCATTTTTCAGCCTTTGTTTTTAAATGCTGTTAAGATGCAATACTACTTTTTAGAAGTAAATAACCCCCACCCCCGATATTAACCATTCAAAATATTCTTGCTTTATTACTTATGGCTAATTCTTAGAGAAACTAAATATTTGTATTTAAAAGGTTTCCAGTTTAGGTCCTAGGTTGATCTAAGAAGCCCAAGGAGATACGTAAAAGTAAATAAGAAAGTCATCTGAGTTAGACTGTTATCTCTCACTCTAACAGTTTAGTGAGAATCTAAAAACATGATTTATTGTGGGTAATGTGGTTCTCAGATAATTCAGGCATGTAATATCCAAAAGCTGGTAATAGTTACAAGAATCATAAAGACATTTACTAGACAAGACTAGGAGAAAACTAAGAGATTACTTAGGTCATCCAATAAAGAAGAGTTTAGTGTGATTTGCCCCCTATCACACAGTTTGAGGGAGAGAAACTCAGATTTTATACCCTGTTCATAATAAATCCTTGTTGAATTGAGGGGGAGGAGCTAAAGAGGTAAAGAAAAACAAACCTACTAGAGGAATTTATGACCATCTATTCTTACCATTCTTGTTGAACTGGGCCCAGTGTCAAGATATCAGTTATTAAATTAAGCACCTACTAAATGCTTTTACCCTTTTTAAAAAACTCACAAACAACTGTAGCATAGATGATGCTAAGTGGATTAGGATGATGTTAACAGAAACAGAGAGGAAGAGATGGATGAAACACACAAAGGAAGGACAGGCAAAACTTGATTAGATATGTGGGACAAATATTTTCATAAAGTTCTTACTTATTTGCTACCAGTATTAGTTAGCAATTAAAAGTGATATATCTCTGGTAGTTCTGTAAAGTAATAAGCAGCTCTTGTGGTTACTACCTTGATTTTAAAAAAATGGGCACCCCCAAATAGGCAAAGAACTCAAATTGACAGTTCTCCAAAGAAGATATACAAATGGCTGGTAAACACAAGAAACGATGCTCAACATCGCTAGTATTAGGGAAATGCAAATCAGAACCACAGACACACAAATCAGAACCACAAGATACCACTTTACAACCATCAGGATGGCTACTATCAAAAAATCCAGAAAGTAAGTGTTGGCCAGGATAGAGAAACTGGAACTCTTGTGCTGTGGGACTGTAAAATGGTACAGCTGCTATGGAAATAGTTTGGCAGTTCCTCAAAAAATCAAACCTAGAATGAACATATAATCCAGTAATCCCACTTATGAATATATACCCAAAAGAACTGAAAGTAGGGACACAAACAGATATTTGTACACCCATGTTCATGACAGCAGTATTCACAATAGCCAAAAGGTGAAAGCAATGCAAGTGTCTGTGGACAGAGGAATAAGTAATAAATTTGGTATATACATATACAAGAGAATATTATTCAGCCTTCAAAGGAAAGAAAGTCCACATGCTACAACATGGATAAACCTTGAAGACATTATGCTAAGTGAAATAAGCCAAGCAAAAAAGGACAAGTACTATATAATTCCACTCAAATGAGGTGCTTAAAGCAGTCATGCACCCCAGTGTTCAGTGCAGTACTATTTACAATAGCCAGGACATGGAAGCAACCTAAATGTCCATCAACAAAGGAATGGATAAAGAAGATGTGGTACACATATACAGTGGAATATTACTCAGCCATAAAAAGGAACGAAATTGGGTCATTTGTAGAGACATGGATGGACCTAGGGACTATCATACAGAGTGAAGTAAGTCAGAAAGGGAAAAACAAATATTGTATATTAACGCATATACATGGAATCTGAATAAACTGGTATAGACGATCTTATTTACAAAGCAGAAATAGAGACACAGACATTTATGTATGGGTACCAGGGGGGAAGCGGGGGGGTGAAATGAATTGGGAGATTGGAACTGACATATATACACTACTGATACTATGTATATACTATGATACTATGTATATACTATGTATATATAAAATAGATAACTAATGAGAACCTACTGTATAGCACAGGGAACTCTACTCAGTGCTCTGTGGTGACCTAAATGAGAAGGAAATCCAAAAAAGAGGGGATATATGTATACGTATAGCTGATTCACTTTGCTGTACAGTATAAACAAACACATTGTAAAGCAACTATACTCCAATAAAAATTAAAAGTATATACATATTATAGAAAAGAAAAAAGAAAATAGAAAGATAGTTGCCAGGGGCTAGGAGGAGGGGTGAATAGGGAGTTACTGTTCAATGGATAGGAAGTTTCAGTTTTGCAAGATGAAAAAAGTTTTGGAGTTGGATGATGGTAATTGTTGTACAACGATGTGAATGTACAGTTGACCCTTGAACAACACGAATTTGAACTGCAAGGGTCCACCTATTCTCGAGTTTTTTTTTTTTCAAGAAATACATACTACAGTACCACACAATCTGCAGTTGGTTGAATCCGTGGATGCGGTACCAGGGATACAGAATGCTGACTGTAAAGTTATAGGTGGACTATAACTAGAGTAAATCCCCAATTTACTCAAGGGTTACCTGAACTTAAGTGCCACAGAACTGTATACTTTAAAATGGTTAAAATGGTATATTTTATGCTATGTATATTTCACAATTAAAAATAAATAAATTTTAAATGGGCACCTACCTATTATATCCTAATTACCTCCCTCTTATGGGTAACCTTATAATCTCTATGGCAGGGGTCTCCAACCCCCAGGCCATGGACCGGTACCAGTCTGAGGCCTGTTAGGAATTGGGCTGCACAGTGGGCAGTGGCGGGCAAGTGAGTGAAGCTTCATCTGCCGCTCCCCATCGCTCGCATTACTGCCTGAACCATCATATCCCCCCACACACACCCTCACCCTGGTCCGTGGAAAAACTGTCTTCCACGAAACCGGTTCCTGGTGCCAAAAAGGTTGGGGACCGCTGCTCTACAGGTTACTTCTCACTTTCAACTTAACCCAAATTTACACCAGTGCCCACAATTTGAATACTACAGTACCCCTAGTACACTTAGGTGTACTAGGTTTAGGTTCACTGGGATCAAAATTCTGGTTGCTACCAGCATTACTGCTAGTGAGAATTTAAGAAAGATAAAGATATGTAGTTTTATATCAACAGGAAAAGAAAAGAAAGTAACCATGTAGAATTAGCCATATTACTCTCGAAGACCATCTTCCACTATTTTATTTAGCTTACCACATGGTAGTATCCTGCGTAGGATTCTCTAACTCATCAGAACAGAACAAGTGCATGAGTTTTAGTATGTAACATTAATAACAGCAGTTACAATATTACAATATTAAAAAAAACTATTTTAGAAAAAATAAACTATCATTTGATTCCTAATTAAGAACCAGGAATGACACCTCCAAGACTCATGAAGCAACATGATTTGAGGTTCCCTTACAGGACTTTTTTTTTTTTTTTACATTAAAAAATATATTGCTTAATGGATTATTATAAGGCAACCACCCTTGTAACCATCACCCAGGATCAAGAAATAGAAGTTTGCCAGCTCTCCCCCAAAACCTTCCATTTGTCCCATCTTGTTCACCCCTCCTTTCTCCCACATAAGTAACCACAATCATGACTAACAGTAATACCTCATCCCTTACAGGACTTTTAAAACA